TTAACGTCACAAGAAGAAAGAAGAAGGAACTCGTCCTCTTATATATCGCCATCATCAAAACTTTGCAGAAGAATGTTACGAATCTCTCTAAAGGAGGCCATGACTGAAGTACTTTATGATAAAAATCGAAAATATGTAAACAATGCCGCCCGCGCCTTCGACTTGGTCTCTTAAGGATTTTTCGCGCCTCACGACGGCATCCTCTTCCCAGTCCCCCTCGGTCATCACAGCCGTCGTAGACATCCGCCGTCCTCGGATCTTAAGGTCCTCAGTTGCTCAAAAACGGGGAGAAGTCGGCTGTGAAAGTGTTGGCCATTGTTATTGTCCTGTTCCTTGTTTGTTCCGCATGTTATCTGCGGTGTAGTCTTATATACATAATGAAAGACAAACAACCATGTAATGATAAAAAATTCAAATTGCCTCTGTTAGTTTTAAACTCTGCCATCAACCAGTTGCTTACGCTCTGTTTAAGAGAAACAAAAAAGAGGAAGCAAAACGATGCATTTGCTGCGTGATCTGAAAGAAAAGAAACAACATTGAACCACTTAATGACTCGCATACAATATAAGTAGTCTAATTTTAGACAAAATGTTTTGGGTGAAGCACAAAATAAAGTGTTTCTACTTGTGCTATATTTGAATAAAGCTGCTTTGCTGGGCTAAATTACAAATGAAGGAGTTCTAGCGTTGATGCCAGTTAACATCAAATAGTTTTAGAAAAACAGTTCAAAATTCTTCAGTGTTGAATCTTTAAATCTTAATAAACAAACCCGAGAGGGAATTTAATAGTTATCACCAAAAACCGTTTTCCAGAAATTAACAGTGAAAATTACGTATACATGATGTGTATGTACAAAATTAGTTCATCTGTCAGGTTTTTTTTTCCTGTTGAACCTAAGAGGTTTTAATTTAATTAAACTCGTAAATTACCATTTTTCTCTTCTTAATCCTTGAGTTGAAACGCGTATCGTCGAAATGCGATTCGTATTTGACGAATCAAGAAGGCCATCCATTGCTCCGCAGAAGATTTTGAGACATAATATATAATAGATGCCGTTTCTTAAGTGATGAGCAGCGTTAGGCCTGCCATGAAAGTGATGGCTATTGTTATAGGCTTCTTTTGAGATTAGCTTTGGGGAGTAAATCTCTCTCTATTTAATAACCACTCTATTCCATTCTATTGATGTCACTTGAGATCAGCTGGTTCACTGGTAGAAACAGTTGTACCCTGGCAACAAGCAAATGTCAAAGTTTGCTACGTTTAACCCTTAAACTCCAATAACTGACCAGCGTCAAATGGTTCCTTACAGCATCACCATTGAGTCAAAGTAAGGTCTTGATAATCGGAGGGGAGCGAACGTTGACTAAAGAAGCTCTTGATTGATAGACAAATCTTCTTGTCATGACCGTAGAAAATTTATAGAGAAGAGTGTGGCGAGTGTTCATACAAATGTTATGGTTCGATGTGTCTATTTTTTAGGACCTGACAATGTCCTTAATCGAAACAGCTTGTCAAATCTAGCTATCCCTTTCCGTTTTACCAAAATATCAAGTTAACGCCAACATGGTAATTTGAGCAATTTTCAAAATTTAATACAGAAGTAATCACGAATGTTTCCCCCGAGCGTGTTTCTCTTATGATCAGTTTACTTCCTGCATTTCATGACTTATCAATCAAGGAATGGAGGCTGTTGACCTTCAATAAGAACGGCGAGAATTCAGGCTGGTTAATCAAGGAGACGGGGGACTTTACACAAGACAAAATCACCAGGTGTTTTCAAATAATTTGCGAATTGTTTATGTTAGCTCCGCACCGGAAGTTTTATCCTCTCGACGTTATTTATGTAGGGCCGGCCACTTGGAATAGCAATATGGAAACATGGTTTTGGATTGTTGGCTGGTCTCTTTCCATCCTGACCATGACTGGAAATGGATTTATTATCTTCCTTGTCTGCAGAAGACGGCGGCTTCGCACCAAAACCAACGCATTTATATTTTCTCTTGCAGTGGCTGACTTCTGTGCTGGGTTGAGTGCCTTCCCTCCGCTTTTCCTCTGCGACGCGATAACTGGATGCGACCCAAAGGCTTTCCTTGCGAGCGGAGTGGATTATTTAAGGTGGCTGTTCATGTACGCGTCCGTGACAAACTTATGCTGTTTAGTCCTGGAGCGTTACGTTGCAGTTGTGAAGCCTTTAAGGTATTTGACTTTTATGACGCGAAGACGTGTTTTCCAGATGATCTTTATCTCCTGGACCATTGCAGTGGTTATCGTCTTGGCTTTTATACTAAACTGGCTTGTTTTTAGTGAGGGTCTGTTGTTTAAAGTGCTGATATCGATTCTAATGTTTTTTTTAGAATTCTTACCGTGCTGCGGTCTAATTTTCTGCTTTGGATCAATGTACTATGTTATTTATAAGCACGAAAGAGCCGCCCATATCCTAGCAAAACAACTGCGCTTTAACCAGCGATTTTTGTTCAGAGTCCAGGAGAAGTCTGCTGTAAAAATAATGGCAATTGTTATCGGCTTGTTTCTTGTAGCTTATTCGTTAGCTTTGCGATGTAGCTTTATTTACATTTTGAAAGACGAAAAACCGTGTGATGATCAAGAATATAAAATACCCCTTCTTGTATTAAACTCCGCCATTAACCCCGTCGCTTACGCTATCTTCAAGAGAGACATAAACATGGAGGTAACACGATATATTTGCTGTTTCATATGTAAAAAAAGGAATCACATTGAGCCCATTAATGAAAACAACTCTTTCATCTTACGCAGCTATAATGCATAGCACGTCAAACCAGAACTAAAAACCTTGGATGAACTTGTCGTCAACCAGAAATATTCAGTTACCTATTATCAATCTTTCCACCTGCAGTTAGCAATCGATAACTAAATTATGAAATTAATATCATGTTTAAGGATTTGCGTACGGAAATTATGAAATTAATATCATGTTTAAGGATTTGCGTACGGAAATTATGAAATTAATATCATGTTTAAGGATTTGCGTACGGTGTTTGTATGATGAAAAGAGTAGATCAGGCACATAATGGTCAAAAAAGATTCTTTTAGTCTCATCTATTCTTGCCTATTCTCGTTCCTTTTAATCTCTTTTCTTTTCTCTAATTATGCTAATCTGTTTGTTTTATTTTATAGTTTTGCATGCCAGTCTTTGAGTCAGTCAGTCGGTCAATCAGTCAGTTAGTCAATCAGTCAGTCAGTTTATTAGTCACCCAGTCCACCTGCCAGTAAATCAGTCAGTCAGGGTATTCATTCAGTCAATCTAGTATTATCAACTGAGTTGATAATGTAAATTGGCCCCCGTAAAGAGTTTTGAAGCTAATGTTTCGAGCGTTAGCCCTTCGTCAGAGCGAATGGAGGAATTGTGGGTGGTGTGTATGTTTTTATGAAGACAAAAGGAGCTAAGCTATTGGCGTAAATATGGCGATGGGGAGGCAATATTATCATGTTTACGCCATTAGCGTAGCTTCCTTTTTCTGCATATAAACACACACAACCCTCAATTCCTCCATTGGCTCTGACGAAGGACTAAAGCTTTAAAATTCGTCATGGTGGCCAATTTCCGTTATGAACTCAATTGATAATACTTAATTACCCCGTTGTACTCTGCCACCGACGCAGCACCACAGTTTCTTTATAATTAGAAACCTACCTCTTACTCATTCAGTGTGTCCGCCTGTCAGTTCATCAGTCAATCACTCAGTTAATCAGTCAGTCGATCAGGGTTTTCAGTCCTATGAAACATTATGAATCGCGTGGGGCAATAAAATTTAACCTGATCCCCCATAAAGCTTTGTAATATTTTTATGCTCCCTTTTCACTGCCACTTTAATTTGCAGTCAATTTCCTATAGTCCCCCTCTTTATACTTTCTTGGCGACGACTGATGTCTCCCTCCGTTTTCTCATGAAAACCACTTGATCCCCCAAACCCTCCAAAATTCCCTCTTCCATCCCACCCAGGTGATAAATAATGACTGGTCCCCAAGAAAAATTTCATTTTCATGTTCAAGTCTATTTGAAGGTCTCATTTGAAGATCTCTTCGATGCAACACACATGTAGTGTGAAAGGAGTAAAGTTTGAAAGTAAATTTAGAGATTGATTCGCATAACTGTGTGATCTCATTGCGGTTCCTGTGGCATAAAGTGATAATGAGTGCCGCTATTCCCCCCCCCCCCCCCCAATTGATGGAATCAAGAAGTCGGTGAATCAATACTTTCACTTGTCTTAGCGCTCATCAATCTGTTTTCTAGACGTAAAGGACAGTTAAAACTTTTTTTTTCAAACATATTGTGTCAATATATTAAGGATGTACAAAGGAAAGGAAACATTAACAGTAGCTGAGTACTTAAAGGTGAGTGTTTCTGCTCTGGACTAGATATATGAATAACTTTTATTCCGAGCCACATTTTGTGTCAGAAGTTCTGGTACTTGTTTGAATTCGTGTCCACGTTTTCCGTTAAAATCAGCCACATTGAGAGCAGGGCGTTCTAAAATCTGCTAGTTATCTTTACGTTATGGGTGAAGCAGATAAAGGGGCAGGAGAGGTTTTGTATTAAATATATAACTTTACATACGTAATTGGCAGCCGATTTAAACGCCAACGCGCTGGACTAAGATACAATTTAGTGTTATCGCTGAGTATGACATGGTTTGACACATGCTCCAGTTTGTCGGCAAATAAATTTAGCATTGTAATAAGATATGTGCTTACTGTTCGTCGCGGTGTTAGATAGGAGATGAACTTTGTTCGTTTGTCTCACGATAGAGTCACTTTTGATGTAGATCGCGACGTTTCGACTGCAATACTGCTAATCTTCATCAGGCGATGAGTCGATTGTTTACGAGTCGCTATTTGTAGCACGTTGGTATACTGTTATTGGTGCATTTTGATCTTCATTATTATTCCGGTTGTTAGATGATGTTTCCATAAACAAAGTCCATCTCCCAAATTTAGCATTTTAACAGGCTCGTGCCAGATGTCAGTAAAAATGGTCCTTAGTCAAGGAACTACCACGGCGGGTCTTCCATCAGTTTTTTATCGAAAGTTATCTTCTGTATTTTCACTTGAGTAACGTCACTAAAAAACTCCCTAATGGAAACCTGGTTTTGGATTCTTGGCTGGTCTCTTTCCATCGTAACCATAGCTGGAAATGGATTTATCATTTTCCTTGTTTGTAGGCGACGGCGGCTTCGAACCAAAACCAACGCGTTTGTCGTTTCACTTGCTGTGGCAGATTTCTGTGTTGGGCTGAGTGCCGTTCCCCCACTTTTTGTCTGCGAGAAGACAACTGGATGCGATCCTGAAGCCCCTTTTGCCAACAGGGTGGATTATCTAAGGTGGCTGTTTACAGATGCGTCTGTAACAAACTTATGTAGTTTAGTCCTGGATCGCTACATAGCTGTTGTGAAGCCTCTCAAATACATATTGTTCATGACGCGCAGACGTGTTTCTCAGATGATTTTTATTTCCTGGGCACTTTTAATTCTTATTTTTTTCGATGTTCTCATATGGCTCGTTTTTAACGACAATCGTTCTCTTTTCTTGATTTCCTCTTGGATAATCATGATTTTTTTCGAGTTCCTGCCGTGTTGTGGTCTTATCTTTTGCTTTGGTTTAATGTTTCGTGTAGTTTATAAACACAGTAGAGCCGCTCGTATCCTAACTAAGCAACTCCGCTTTAATCAACGATTTTTGTTCAAAAGCTGGGAGATGTCTGCTGTGAAAGTGATGGGAATTGTTATAGGCCTCTTTACTCTTACTCACACGTTTTCTTTGCGATGCAGTCTAGTACATATCCTGAAGAACAAACAGTCATGTGATGATAAAGAATATAAAATACCTCTCCTCGTTTTAAACTCTGCCATAAACCCTGTTGCTTACGCTTTCTTCAAGAGGGACATAAAAGAGGAGGTGGAAAGACGCATTTGCTGTGTGGTCTTGAAGAAGAGAAACAACATTGAACCACTTAATGATTCAAGACTTTTTCCAAATTAATAGTTTAGATCATAACGTCAAACACGCATCTCGTTTGGTACAAAGTAATGTTGTTAAACCATAACAAGATTCACTCTGTAGTGCTTACAATTTATGCAAATCAAACAGATACGCACTATTCCAAGCTAAAATGAAAATGAGATATTGTTTTGACGTCAACTGGGATCAGCTGGTTTTCTAGAAGAAACTGTCTCTAGTAAACGAGAAACTTTTGAACTTCTTTATTAAACTCTTTAACCTTAAAACCGGCTAGAATCTAGGAAATGATCGCTAACCAAATCATTTTGATTGATAAAAAAATTATCCTTGTCAGTACCATGGAAAATACAATAGGGAGATATTCATACTAACAGTTAGTGTAGAAGATTAACTCTGATGGGAAGCAAGACCGAATGAGGACAAAGGGCGAGTGTTATTATGATTTAAACAGACAAAATGCAAGAAGAAGGTAAAAATTTTGTGCTAGATATGCAATTTTAATAAAGGCAGACAGCAGCTGATTTGGACTACACCCCTGCAACTAAAATGCGAACGTTTATAAATGCTAAAAGAAAAAACTGAAGAATAAACTTCTACATCTCCAGTGACAGGTGTATTGTTGTCAGCATTTTGAATTTGTTGTTTTCTAGATCTAAGATGACAAAAGAGGCAGTTATGAACTGTCTACTGATAACTCCTCCGCAAACTGTAGCTATTCTTCTGTTTTCATTTCTCTCATGGCCATTTTTTTACATTTTGAAGTAAAATCAAGTTTTTCGCACGACATGGAAAATTTGTCGCGTATCAGGAAATATGAGCTAATAAATATGCTCTAGCTTTTGTAAGTGTCCTAAAAAAAAAAATGGCAAAAAATTAAAACATGTTACACGGCGTGCACAACTCTTTCAAGCTCTGAAGAATTGCATTATAACTTTCCTATCATCATTTCATCATTATCACATTGAACAAACTTGGCTGTTGTGTTGTTTGGTTTTGGATCGCTACATTGCTGTTGTAAAGCCGTTGAAGTACTTAACGATAATGAAGCGCTGCCGAGTTTCCCACATGACTTTTTTTCTTGGGCGAGCTCGATTGCCATTATTATCCCTTTTGTACTGAATTGGCTCGTTTTTGATAACAACCATTTCCTTCTCTCGCTACGGTTGTGGAACTTCTTAGCAAAACAGCTCCACTTCAATCATCATTATTCAAAAGCGAGCAGAAGTCTGCCGTGAAAATAATGGCAGTTGTTATTGATTTGTTACTTTTAGCTAATTCGTGCTCTTTGCGATGTAGTCTTTTATATCTTTTCTATACAGAGGAAGGTCCGTGTAATTATCAAGAATATAAAATACCTCTTATTGTTTCATCTCTGCCATTAACCCTGTTGCTTACGCTCTGTTCATAAGAGACATAGGAGAAGAAGTAAAACGACGCATTCGCTGTACGCGTGTGATCTGAAAAAAGTCACATAACTTTGTACTACTCTTTCAAAGAGCTCAGAATCATATTGGTCCATCGATATTGAGGTTAGGGTATTTTGGCGGCTATCACTATATACTTAGTGGATGAGGTCAAAGAAAAGGATGGAATAATTTTATCAAGAGCGAGCTTTGGCTGAATAAAACTTTTTCTTGTATTTTAAGATTAAAACACATCCCATTGTACATGGATTTGTATTGCCAAACCACTCTAACAACTGATTAATTTTAGGATTATATGTTATGCTAAATTTCACATGAACGAGATCTAGTCTTATATCAATTGAAATCAAGTGCTCTTTTGTCCGTTTAAAGTGCCAGCCGTTCACTCGCTCTTTTGTGACAAGAAGCCTTTGCGATAACGAAGTATTTAAAGGTTATCATGTAGTTTAATAATTATCTCTCCGCCCGTAGTAAAGAGGATACGACTCAACAGGGCGGAAGAGTTTCACATTAGGTATGTACACGATGCAAAAAGTGCGAATCGGACTTAAAGTAGGCATCGCTGCGACGACAATAAAATTTTATTGGCGTTGTGTCAAAATTTCCTCCAGAAGTTCGCTGCACATGACATGAGCTTGACGCAACTCGCCCATATTAGCATTTCTGACAGGTCGCTTTATATTCTTTCTGACCATCACGAAAAGGCTGGTTTAAATTAAACGCAAGAAATAGATTTTTGTCCGAATTGATAACTTACTATTTGGATCGATCATAACGCAATACAAGCATTCCCTATTATATTAATTAATGTTTATAAGCAGGGAACAAGTTGTATAGTTTTAGGATTCAAATTATTGGGTAAAGCTCAAAATGAAATGTTATACTCGTGTTTTATTTAAATAAAGTTGTATCGCTGAGAAAAAAATGCAAATGAATAAGTTCTAGTGTCGATGTCAATTGAGATCAGGTTGTTTTGAAAAACGAGTAATTCTACTTTGTCGAAAAAGCTAACTTTAATGAGTTGCGTTTAAATTTTCTTAAGGAACAAGACTGAGCGAGAACATAGAAGTTAGAGTAATGAGCTAGTTATCTGTCCATGCTGAGTGACTCTGGTAAAATTTATCAGGTGGAACTTGAAAAGGTGGGCCTTAATTTGCGCAGGTTTTTAAAAGTGCAAGGAGGACTTAGAATAAAAAATTTTAAAAATTGACTCTAAGATTTTCTCGGCAGAGTATGTATATGCTGCAAATGAAAAAAAATTAGTACTATTCCGGAATAAATTGCAAATGAGTTCTGATGTTGATGTCGGTTGAGATCAGCTGGTGGAAATTCTAGCTATCCTGCATAACAAACAACCCAATTTTGAATTAATGCATTAATCCTAAACCTTTAAGACTGGACTAGCACCAAACTTATCCTTACGGTATTATTGTTAAATCTTGAATCAAACATTAAGGTCTTACTTAAAATGAATATGGGGAGATACTGAGTCAAACAGATATGCTCTTAGATGCGTGATGAACCGTTAATTTGGCGTATGCAGAACGTGTTTATTTGCGGACTTAATTAATGGTTAAGCGGTGGTGTATACAACGGAGAGCGGGTGAAACATAGTACTAGCGCTGTATGGATTTTGTCGTTCGCAAATGTGAATACGATTATTTTAGTTAACTTACAATGATTTTTTTTTCTTGGACTAAAAGAAGGAAAAACAATCGAAATAAATGGTTCGCTCAAATTTTTTTTGTCTTGTGCCGTGAACTGCATTTTTGAGCCTTTGAACAATCAAGTTGGACAACTGATATGCGTTTAAAAACACCTTCCGCATTTGTTCCTTGGATCATTTGCCGCTTACTTGTCGTTTTGTCCTAGGAAGAGTTTTTTAACAATGCCCCACGACGAGCAAATTCAGAAAAGTCTCACGAAGCCAAGTGTTCACTGATAACCAAAAAATTGCCTTGGAAAACCGCCGGTGGACTTTTTGTTAGAAATTTAGTTTTTTTAATCAGTGAAGCTTTTACATTCGAATCAAGTTCGGATTATAAGTAAATCGTTTTTACGTTATTGAACCGTTTTAACCTGTCAAAGGAAGAACTTATCCAGCAAGATTTCCTGTGTATGAATCATGCGTATTTAAGACCTTTTTTCCAGAACGTTTTCATCTCATTGTGATTGATTATTTTGTTAGACGTGCACTCGTTGTTGTTGATATTAATTACGTCTGCCAAACTTCAGTAGAAGTACTTTTAGAAGTAGAATTTTTCGAGTGACAAGAGAAATAAAATGCTTCTGGTTATACTAAAATTATATCTGTCACCATTGACTTGCAAATTAGGATAGTTTAATGGATCGTTTTGTCAGTTTATAGCTCGGGTGACTTGGTTTAAAAATAAATAATTTCTCCCTACGAAAAGAGACATTCAATTTGCAGTGTTTAGTAGCTGGTCTTAGAGTGTGCAGGCCCAACTGAGAAATATGGAATTACGGGAAATTGGATTGCTATCTTTTCTTAGTAGCAAGGTAGATGGAGTTTAACAGGGCGAAAAACGTTCGATTTTGAACATGTTATGTACAGAAGGCAAGCCAAAGGCTCGATTAAACACAACTAAGAATATAATCGATTGCCTCGCAAAAACCGCCTGTCGAGAGTATTTTTGATGCAATTTTCAATATGAGCAAAACAAAATATTTTCTATCAGGGTATAACATGTTCTTACCCATCCTCCTTGATAACTGTTTTACGTGCGTAAAATAGTTCATTTCTCCCTTGAATACCTCTGTTGTCTTTTATCCTAAAAAGTTTTCAAAAGACGCGTTTTGCAAAATTTGCTCAACGTTTTTTCCTGTGCGTATCTTTATGTTTTAAAGGGCTGCTTCTTATATGACAAGTTATTGACTTACCCCTAATGTTTCCAGCTTAGAATTCATTCTTTTCTTTATGTCAGATGACGAACGAGGAGATACTCTCAACTTTGTTCCTCTTTTTTTCCCGCTGAGGTCTGAGTACGAGCAAACCGTATGTCTCTATCATGTTCATTTATCCTTTCTCGCATTGATCCCTGTTTCACCGATGTACACTTTGCCGCATTCAAATGGGATCTTGTAAACGACACCGTTTTGTTTTGTTGATTCCAGGGCGTCTTTAGGTCGTACTAAATGAGACCTAAGTATTGTGTCAGACTTGAAAACGGTTCGTTTACCTTCATGTTGTAGGCAGCGGCGAAGGGAAAACGGCAATAGATTTAAATCCTGCGCGGGTTTTTTTGTTGGTTGTTACTCTTGTTGTCTTTGCGAGTCTTCATACAAATGAAGAGGGATAACCATTAGAAACAAGAACTGATAACTGGTGTTTCTTTTCCTTAGAGATAACTGACGGTTTCGTTGTGAGGTGTTTGGCTCGGTCGTAAAGACACTTAACAATACCACACTTCACTGACTGAGGGTGGTGTGAATCATAGGCTAGGTACTGGTCAGTGTGGGTGGGCTTTCTGTAGACAGTGGTACTGAGAAGTCCCTTATAACTGTTGTGTCGAGAAAAATTCAAATTCTTCCATGTAGATGTTAGCTGTAACTGCGGAAACAGGGCTTCCCATAGCT